CATCTATAGTGTTGGTTGTAGGGGAACGAGTATTCTTCTTTGATTCTTTTGTAGGGACCCTACTCATAGTCTTTGATCTGCAGACTCGAGCGATATGGCCCATTTTCCCACAAGCACGGCATCTTTTTTTGATAAATCGACACTTGTTTGCTAAGTGAGAACCACCACATCTATAACAACTGATATGCTCTCGTGTGCGTGTGGTGGACTGATTGACATCCTGTGTCTCCTTGGTTGAATTTGGCTCATGCTGTTGCATGAATTGAGCACTCCTCTTGGCATCTTCTATCATTGTGGCCATCTGTACCGCTGTATCAAATTTAAGGTCATCAGATTCTGTCAAAAGTTTACTGTGGATGAACTCTTCAGAAAGACCGCAAATGAAACGGTCTCGTAGCGTCTCATCCAGTGCTGCAGGCTTGAAATCACATCGCATGGCCAGTCTTCTTAAATCGGCGACATAATCGGCAATGGATTCTTCCTCTCTCTGTCTGCAGCAACCAAATCTGTATTGCTTTGTCACAATCGAAGCTTTGGGGTGCAATAGATTGGTAAGAAGGGTTACCAGTTCATCTAATGTCTTGCTCGTGAGCTCTGCCGCTGTCACCATATTCGATATTACTTCGAATGTTTCATATCCCAGTGCTGATAAAAAGACTGACTTCTGTCTTCCTGCTGCTATGTTGTTCGCTTCAAAGTACAGTTTGATGCGTTGCACATACTTGGTGAAACCGTGCCGCTTGGGGTCAAATGACTCTAAAGAGCCTGCAGCCACTGCCATTCTAGACTATTAATCCTTCTCGCATAAGGTCTGAAAGTGTCCTTATCGCCAATGTAGTAAAGGAAGATTTCTCAGTGTAAAAGGACGATGATCGTCTCAAAAAGTCTCTCATCAACAAAGCCAAAAAACTCAAATACACACAAAAAATAACTATTAATAACTACATGAATACTCATAAGTGATAACACAATAATTACAATGATCCCAATAGTAATAATAATAATACTAATAATACTACTGGAAATAATAATAATGATAATACTAATAATAATAACAATAATAACAACAATAACAATTACAATAACATAATAATAAGCATAATGATAGATGATGATAATGTCAACAGTACTATAGTTCTATAGATTACCACAACATTCTAAGCGCCATTATTATTATTTATTATTATTGTTATTATTAACATATTAGCAAGCAGTTAGATATTTAGTGGTGTATCAATACAAACTTTTTAAAATAAAAACATCATTTTTGTAGTCATACAATGATAGTCCTTTTTAACAGTAATACTGGGTGAGCTATTAGTACCTTTTTTGCTGTATAGTAGCCATTGCCCGCGGAATGAAATTTTTTACGAAAATATGTTTGTCTGGACTTGTCCTTGAAAAGCTTCCTGTCGAAGCAAGAAGAATCCATCCATTCCAATGTTGCATGTACCCTATAGCTTTGTAATAACTCTAGCAAATGCAACTATGGAATCTTGATACAACAGTCCAGCAGAACAGCACCAGCATCCGCTTGATGGGCGTGGCCGTTTATTGTCATTTTACTATATGTCTATAAAGTTACAATCGTCGGTGACATCAAAAGGAGCTGGGAGTAGCAGAGGGGTGGGTTGTCCTTACTATGGACATGGAGACTACTGCAAGGGAGGATGTAGGTGCCCTAATGTAGATTTGATAGGCCTCCAATTTCCACCTGCCCAATGCTTTGATCAAATGATCTGGGATACCTGCTTTGGCTGCTGAGGTGGCTGCTCCGATCCTGAAGCTGTGGCCTGAGTATTGATTTTGATCAATGCCTTTTGCTACCAATGGGTTCTTTAGGTGTCTCACAAAAGTATTTTTGGATGGTAGTGTCTGATCCTGGTGAACTAGGAGAAGGCCCTGTTTGGGAGAGGCCGAGAGGGGCAGACTGCAAGGTACTTTAAGATAGTCGATACCGGGCAAAGGCCATTGACCCCGGTCTTACCCACAAAGACCACTATTCCTTCTCCAAAAGGGTCTGTCTTTGTACTGCCTAGGGATATTTAATAATCCTGTGGTCAGACTGA